TTGGGTAGTACATTCTAATCCCTTAAAAAAAAAAACATAACAGACCCCGAAAAGGAACTACGTTGGAGCCCTCGGGTAGAGTTTAGGGCGAACGGTTTTCGGGTTCAGCATTTTAGGGTTTGGGGTTTTGGGGTTTTGGGGTTTGGGTTTCTAGGGTTTAGGGGTCCCCGTGTGCTCTGGAACGAATTCCCAGCATCTGGAATCCTTTACTCCGCCAACTCGGACTATGAACCATCTCTACCAGGACCCTCCTTGTACCTTCAATTGGGGATATATGGTCCCTAATAGTAGGTACTTAGGACCTAATAGAGGGTAGGAGGAGGGTCTAGGTAGTCCCAGTCGCGACATATTAAATCATCACAGGTCACGTGATTTTCTAATGCTTTCAAAGACGTCCTGCATGCAAATTCCTCACGGGGATCCCAATGCATCCTTCTTAAGTCTTCTGCAGCCTTCGGGTCTGTGGGCACGCACCTGTCGCATTTGTGAACTCCCCACCCTTAAGCCCTCAGTCCGCAATCAAAAGCCCCAAACCCTAAACCCATTAACTCATTGAACTAGCTTATGCTTCCGAACCAAAGAACACTTGAAGCGCCTGGGCTGTGTCGGGAGTCAGGCTTAGTCGAGATAGACTTTTCATCAGTGTTGTGGAGTCGCCGCCTGGCGTATGCGTTTGGGGGCATGGAAGTTTGGGATTTAGCATTCGCACCGTGGCTGAGGGTTCTGGGGTTTATAGTTGATATTTGAAGGTAAGTTGTCACGGTGTTGCCAGGCAGACAGCCCACGTATACTGATACTCGGAATCCAAAAGAAACCTGCTTCGCTCACCAAGCAGGTTAATGACGAAAGCCACTCTTCACATGAGGCAATCTCAGCAGGCATCTTCTGCAGATGTTTGGACCCCGAGCCTCGAGTTTCGTTTCTCAAGCCCACTGCAAACCTGTAGTTTGGGCATTAGGCGCTCTAGGCGCCTAATTACAAAACTCAAATAGCTTCTTGCGGAGATTTAACATCTAGCTAGATAAGGTTGAAAAGGAAAGAGCATTGGTAAATAAACCAGACTTGTACATTAGACACCGTAAAAACCACGGTATAAGCCCAGCGTCCAGTTGATGGTTCTTGCTCGTGCTGATTCCCCATTCTTAGCAAAAACAAGCTTTGACCGTAGTCATCGCCTTTGGTCCCATGTGATAATTTCCACAAAGGGGTGTTCTAAGAATTTCAGGGATATATACATTCTAGGGAGACCACCAGGCCCTCACTCTGCCATTATAAAAAGGCATCATTCTCGCATCGTCTGCTCAGCCCGTACCCAGAAGGGGTCAGGGCTACACAGCTGAATTTACGAGTGGGGTCACGGGCTGATGGTATCTTCATCATCCCATGGCTAGGTCGGCTTCGCTCTGCGACGGCCATCCCACATTGGCGTAGTGAACCACACACATCTCAAACGCCACAGGCCACTAGCAACTCACCGGCTATACGGGGATCCTGAATTGAGTACATACTGGCTCAACCATCGGTTTCTGTGCGTTCTCGCAGCCTATTGAGAGTCGTCTTCCCTCCGAAGAACATAGCTGACATCGCCATAAACTTTGTCAACACCCTGAACCTTTAACCCGAAGCAAGAAGCCAGGGGTACGCCTGGTAGGTCAGTTCTGCCCACGTTCTTCAGGAAAAGCGTGTCGCCCGTGAAAAGCATTCCTGTGCCAAGGTTCGGCCAAGTGCAGCTTCAGCACAAGCCTTAAGCGAACTACATCCTACACAGTCGCCATTCAAAGGATTTTAGCTTGCAGGATATTGTAGAAACGAGGATGGAGTTGATAATGTATCCGCAGAATCTGGAGGAGAAAATTGCATCACACCCATGCAGGGTCTTGCCAGGTGGTTCTTAGTCGTTCTACTATAGGAAACAGTGCAAATGCAGCTAGCTGTTTCGAGCCTTCGGCACACTCTGGTCGCACGTCCGGTCCTAAGCTTGTGGCTTTAGCAGAATCGTCTTGTATGGGAGTTGATGGTCGCAAGTCCAAACCGCTTCGGGCTTCAGAGGCCGAAAGAAAAATCAAGGCTGCCACTGTCTTCCAGACTACTAGAACCCATGACAAGATCTTTGCAAGGACTCCCATGATCTGCGAATGTCTGCGCAGGATTTCGTGGGCTCTCCGTCGATCCATTGGAATGTGCAACATTTCTCCCGCCTTGCAGCTTCACTTTCTTAGAACTAAGCGGACCTTGAACAGTGCTTACGCCATTTTGCAGGACCCATGTCTGAAAGTTCCCGTAGAGTAGGAGGATGCAAACATGTTGGACACAGGGATCTTTTACCACAGAGCCGGGAAACCTGTGCCCCGAAGCCAGAAGGTCACGCCGCCTGCATTTACTTCTGGAATCTGAGGTGTGCATGGGGTGTGAGCGACATCCGCCTAGACCCGAAGTATACAAGATGTCATCCCCCTTAGTAACTCCTATAATTCCTGATATAACCCGCTTTTAGGAGTTTAACATTTGGGGACTATGTGAGTTTGATTGCTTCTGCGGACTGCCTGAGAATAGGACCCAACAACAACTTCTTTAAAGGCTCCGGACAGGTGGATTTGGACCGTGGCGGCTTTAGAGGGTTGCTGTTAAGAAACATGCCCATATTATGGTAAATTAATGTAAATTCCTTAACTGTCCTTCAACAGCATCCCAATAACGCAAGGCAGCAAGTCAGCAAGCATCCAAGCAGAAGATACTTTCCTCAAACACTAAATTGTACCCTAGGGCTCTGATGTGGTTCCGTCTTCCCTTACCCCAAAGGCATAAGACACCCCAAAAAAGGTAGCCCTAAACCCTAAACCCTAAGCCTCTGGGTAAGCTCCTACCATCCGAGCCTTTGCTATGGCCCGGGGAATCGATCCTCAGGACATCTCGCAGGAGGAGTGTTTGTAGGGTTTAGGGTTTAGGGTTTGGGGTTTTTAGAGTTTAGGGTTTAGGGTTTTTAGGGTTTAGGGTTGAGGGTCTGCTTTGACGAGCTTGAAAATCAACAGTGCGCTACCTAAACCCTAGACCCCAAAGTCCCTACACCCTAAACTGTATATGTCCACAGTTACTGTAGATTATCCACACCATCCATGCAGAAGGCGTTGTAGTTGTATCGCTCATTAGAACCTTTAGGGAACCTGATGCGGGTCTCTCTTTCCCTGTAGCCGCCCCTGAATGATGCAACCAGTAACGCAGTACAACTTTGACTGGTGGATTCTATGGTCTCGCAGCTAGCATCTGGCGACGGGATATGACACCATGACATTTTGATACTCAGGGTCTGTCATGTACTTCCCCAGAAACGTGTGTCTGTTCAAATCAACCACTTTAACGGTTCGTGTTTGTTCTTCGTGGCTTTGCAATGGTTGAGGCAAGTGCACTCTGGCAATCAACCCTTGTCAGCTTAGCAATGAAATCCTCCCTTGCTGTTTTGCAGTGAAACGGAATATCGGATCGCACTTTACATGAGCTCAGCCAAAAGGGTTTCAACAAGAACTCGAAGTTCTGCGTAAGAAAATCTAACTGTAAACTGTAGATCATGGGTGCAAATGGATGTGTGCCATCCCCTGACCAACCTCTGAGGCAACTTCTTCCAGAAACTCGCACATTCTGCATGCGGCTTTCTCAACAAGTAGGCTTCGGTTATCAGGGCCCTATCAAGGAGACAACCTTTTTCATTACATATGCAGCGGGGTCAGACGTTAAGAAATTCACGCATTGCTCCTCAAGCATAGTCCAAACCCAATAATAGCTCAATAAAGAACATATTTAATTGATGAGGAGTTCAGGGATTTCTGCTCCGCATTATCTGCAAAGATTTGCAGCAGGAGATCACTAGTAAGACCTTGCATGAGTTTCTTGGGGCTGTTAAAGTTAGGGGTCTTCCTTAAGGTCTCTCTGCAAGAGTTAAGGTATCTTCTTTGGCTTATAGCGGGGCTTCTGATTCTGGGAGAGCTTGGGCCCTTCTCTGCTACCGAAGAGTCACCATGATCGGCAAATCGTCGCCTAGAAGGGAGAGAGTGTCTCCTGCCGTGATTATGCAATGATTGTCTTCCCTTCTTTTGCTCCGTGCTTCTTTGCTTGTATGGCGTAGGGATTGTGCGGGAACATGAGCAGTCTCAACGATTGTGGGCGGGAAAGGGGCCAAGAGAGCACGAAGGCCTCAATTCGTGTTGCCGTCTTGAACTCCAGCAACTCTAGGCCAGGTTTCCTAAACCTGAACACCAAGCGCTACATCCCCAATCCCTCGCCTAAGTCGCAAACCTCGTATCCTAAACTTTGACATCACTTTCCGAAAGCCGACACACTACACGAGGAATCACGTGCAGTCCTTCTTTCAAAGGCTTCCACTTTGTAGCATCCAGCCTCGGAAAGCTTCACATTTGTTCCATAACAACAGAAATCCTTCGCCCCGTAGTGGATTCTTCCTGGTACGCCGGAACAAGACAATTCTGACTAGTGATGAGAAATAATACTTTTTGCGGGGAGGAAGAAAGCAGAGTGCCGGGGGATCAAGTTCAAGCTGCGGTAGCATGTCATAGATTTCATATCTTTGCAGGGTCTTACTCACACACTGATTAACATGAACCTTCATAAAGGCCCCTGCTGTAGTGGGGCTCCAGGTTAGTCTTGGGGAGAGTAATCTCCCAAACTCTCTAACCCTGTGTCCCAACGTCCGAGCTGTAGGCAACCCCATCAGCTTCTCATGGACTGGGTTGTTGCTTTAAAGGAGCTTATAAATGTACCACAAGATGGGTGTATAGAAGCTGATGTGCTTGCTGATTCTGACAGCTTAAAATCATGAACGGCAACACTGCTGAGAGAGCACCAGGAAGATTTCTGAAGGTGCGAAGTAAACGCACGCCTACAAAATGCTCACTGCACCAGACATAGGGGGCAGACCCTCAACATTGATGTTGGAACATGAGCCCCAAAAAAGGACCTTGTTGGATTGTTGCCACGTATCTGGATGCTTTCCAAACGTATGCTCCCCCTAAACACTAAAAACTCTAATGGCAACTTCCCGTTTAGGGATTGTAGGATGATAAAGGTCATGCTGCCCAAGTGCTTTGTCTGGAGTGTCGCCGCCTCAATATCTCCGGCACCGAGGAAGATCGGTATCTGCCAGATCAGGACTCAGTCGTTTTTGGGGAGTGGTACCAGTGCACCATCCCGGAAAACTAACATGGGCCCCCCAAAGCCACCCTTTGTAGACTGCTTTAGGGTGGAATTCGGGGCTTGAAGCACACTATAGACTAAACTCCTACGCCCTATAGCGGTGCAACCGCAAACCTTGAGCCTGAAACCTGAAGCCCACAACCTTGACCCCGACCTAGACTTTGGACCTGAAATCGTCGGAAAGCGTTCTCGAAGCCCTGTGCTAATCCCCCCCTATCCCGAAGCGTTGAGCCCTGGTACTGGTTATGGCTTAGGGTCAGGGGTGACTTGCACTATCACTACAGAAGAGCCTTTGCTCTTAAGTCGAGACCCCTTCAGCTTACTGGTGATATAACCCCTACATAAGATATGACCTGCTAAGCCCAAGCCTTAAACCCTAAACTCCAATTCCCAAACCCTAAACCCTAAATGCTAAATATGACCTGCAAACGCCCAGTAAGTGAGAGAGTAACTCCCTGGTGCTTAGTAAGGAATTGGGGAATGGATCCCTATAGTAGCCCCTATATAATCCCCAATAATAGTCCCTATAATCCATTCCCCCATTCCCTCCTAAGCACCAGGGAGGCAAAGTGCCCCCAAGCCTTTGCCCTGCGAAGCTCGAGAGCTCCAGGAAGAGGTTCAGATGCTGAGCCTTGTCTCCAGGAGAAGCGTTTAGAAAGTGGTGTTCAGGAGTTTACGGTGTAGGGCTTAGGGATTTAGGGTTTAGGGGTTTAGGAATTGGAGTTTTTGGGCTTAGGGCTTACGGATTGAGGTTTGCATGATTTCGGAATGTCCTATCTAGAAATGACCCTCCAAATCCTGGTTCAATCCCAAACTCTCATCCCAAACAAAGAGACGCCCGAAACTCCACACCCTGCGGGTGTTTAAGCATGAGTGAGTTAGTAGTTCCGGGGACCTTGGCAGAGGCTGAACTTAAGTGGCGGTAAGCCCTAGGCTCTAAACCCTAAACCCTAAATAGTTTGAAGCACCAGCAGGGCACAGCAGCCAAGGTACCGGGAGTAGAGCCTCCAATGTGGTCGAAGTGGCCATGTGTGTAGAGCCCGGCAACCAGCCTTTCAAGAGTGAAGTTGGTTGTATATAGGGATAATGTAGAAGTCTAGATAACAGCCAACACTATGGTTGTATACCATTGTGTTGTAGAGTACCTCGCATAAGCCTCAAAAGGCTGTTGGTAATTGCTTAAACCAGGCTGTACAGTATGGCGTCGATCGCCTCTGAGCCGATATCCGGGGTAGCAAAAATCTGGGTTGCTTTTAAATTAAATTAAGCTACCATCATGGGTATCTTTCCATATGAATGAATGAATATGGTTTCCCCAATATAGTAACTTAAATTCAGTTCCTTAAAAGCAGCCCAGGAAATCTGATCATACTCGGGCTACTTTTAATTATGGAGAGGAACTTAAACTCAGCTACGAAGTTGTCACAATGGAGAATCAACTGGAAAAGAAAAGGGAAGATAACATGGACGCTACCGACGTTTTATAATTTGTCGGGTCTCAACTTGCCGGGACCAGCGAAGAACAATATTACCCCGTGATTAGATGCAGCATTGCAATGCGGGTTGACAACTTGATGCTTCTTAGAGGGTCCCTTGTCAGAATACTGTGCCCATATCCAAAATACAAACCATGGGCCCACAGTGGGCTAGCTAAACCAGTACATCATACATGAAGTAGTAGCAGAAGCCAGTCAATAACGGCTTGCTTCGTTCAAAAGGGGTAGAAGCTAGGATGACGTTCAGCGGATGAAGCAAAGCAATAGGACTAGGCCTTCAATGAGACGTTGGAACGACAAGGACATTACAGGCCCATCTGCCAACATCCGACTTTTTGAGGCTCGGTCTTGCATTTTCTAATAACACGGTCTGACTACACGTGTGTCTCTTAAATTTAAGGTCCCTTCATGTCCCCAAAGCGAAAAAGTAACCCAGCAGCAACATAGACGATATGACAGGGATCGTCCCAAAAAAACACATATTTTGAGAAAGCCACACATCCAAACCACTGACCCCTAACGCCAACCTCAACCAACAACCCTCAACTCCAAACCCTGACCCCTCAAAATCCCGAAGCACTACAAAATCTCAACACGTAAAACTGCAAACCTTGATACAATACACCCCAAACCACACTCCATTTGAGCTATAGTCTAAACTCCTAATATCCACTTAATAACCCCTATACTAGACCCCTATATACTCCCCTATATAACTCCTTTTCAGGAGTTTAAAAGACTATGGCCCATATCCTAACAACGTAAACCCTTTGACGTACAAGCAGCTTCTTGCCCTGCTTCTCGGCATAGCGCCGAAGGCGACCAATGTCCCAGGCAGCATCTACCGACACGGCATCCTTGCCGTTTTCTATGACGTACCTCTTAGGTCAATCGCTTTAGGTTTTTTTGGGTTTAGGGTTTTAGGGTTCAGGGTTTAGAGTTTCGGGTTTTGGGTTTAGGATGGCCCCAAACATGGAGTTACTAGGGCCTTAATCTACCTGCAACAGTTTCTTGTGGTACCCGTTACAGGGTGGGCATTGACCCAACCTACCGCAACTAGAGTCCCCCCCTAAAAAGGGGTACTGCTCAAAGACTTATAGCTAGCAGGTGATGGAGGAACGGATCCCTAGAGTAGTCCAATAGAACAAATTCATGATGCTCACCCCTACACTTTATTCCATCATTCCTGAGTCACCACTCGCCAGAAAAGACGGGGAGAGAGTTTAGGATCATCCCTAATCAAACCCTGAACCCTAAATAGTAGCTTCCGTTGTCTTTTCCATTACATTATCCCTATATATACCCAATATTATACCCTATTATACTAGCTGCAAAGCTTAGGACCATGGACTTTCCAAAGAAGAGGCGTAGGGGCGTAGGGTCATGGGTCCGGGGTTGAAGGCCCTCATTTACGACGTGCTTGGATTACTATTTCAAGAGGTCTAGGGCTTATTGCCATTGTCTATGGTGTACCTCAGCTCACTCCCGCTGACGAACACGGTGAGGGTTATCGAGGTTCTCTCCTGCTTGGTTTAAGTGTATTGTCGGCAATCTGCCTGAACCACACTCTACCAAATACGAAGGTGGAAGTTTCGGGTCTACACTGGCTTTAGGTCCATGTCGTACCTCAAGCGCGGGATTCCTACATACAAGAGTAATCTTCACATGTAGACATGCAGGCATCCCTCTTCAAGAATTTGTAGAAGCTATCTTCTTGCGTATGATGGGTGCTAGTCGGACTGGGGAGGCCATCGTCGTCTTAAATCCTGAGCACCATACAACAATCTGAACGACAACTATTCGCCGCCCCTCACATCTAAACGCTGAATGCCCTAAACTACTAAAGCCTTAAACCTAAAAAACCTTGACTCCTCCAGAACTTAAATTCCTGAATCCAAAAACTCCTAGGTCGTTATACCCCCCAAATCCCTACATCCCACAAGTTCCAACCCCATACAACCCCTAGGTCCTCATAAGCCCTGAAACCCCTACGCCCCACAAGTTCCAACCCCTTGGTGAGTCCACTCCTGGGCCCTTATAGGCCCTAAATCCCTACATCCCACAAGTTCCAATCCCCTTGGTGAGTCCAAGGTCCGCGCTGGTAATTTGCCATTTGTCCGAGCTCCAGTCTGATCCAAGCTCCCGGGGTTTAGGGCTTAGGGAATTCAGGGTTTAGGGTTTTGGGTTTAGGGTTACTGCTTAGGGAGTTGAATGACTATGATAAGGAAACCCTACTATCTAGCTTTAAGGATTTAGGGTTTAGGGTCAGAGGCCGAGCCCATTATTTAAACTATACCCATATGATGGTAACTTGGTTTCAATTCCTTACCAGCAATCCAGTTTAGGGCCCTGGGGGTCTTTTGAAGTCTAGGGTGTCTTGGATTTCGCGTTATAGCGATTTAGGGATGCAGAGTTCTAGGGTACTGGGGTCTGAGGATTGAGGGTTAAGGGTTTAGAGTTGAGGGTAAGTTAAGGGTTTGGAGTTTGAGGGCTTGACGACGATTTGGGCTTTGCGATCTAGGCTACGGGCTTAGGATTTAGCTCTGCGATACTGATGTTGTAAGATTTGGGCTAGGGAATTTGTAGTGGATGCTCTGGATTTGCGGATGAGGGGAGGCTTACCTTCCGACTCCTTTCTGTACACCGCTCTCCCAAACGTCATGCCAAAGGCTGACTCAGTGCTACGGCGCTGACGACTACACATCTGAAGCTGCCGTCGACCTCAAAAGGTGCTTGCCTCCCTCCTTTGAGCCTGGCCGCCCAATTTCTGGGTTGCTGTTAAGGAACTTAAATGAAGTTACTATATTGGGGAAACCCTATTATTTACTGTATATACCCATTATGGTAACTTTATTTAAGTTCCTTAACAGCAACCCAGATTTCTGCTGATCATGAACCCTTTCCATACACGAGCCTTGCAGCTTTGCAGAAACAACTAGACAGTCTTCAACACCGGGGAAGACTGATGATTTGGCACTCCCTGTGAACTCACCAAGGTAAAGTATGGGGCTGCATAATACTGAACATCAAACCCTTAGCCCAGAAGACCTATGCCAACAGCCCAACATCCTAAGCGTTACATCTTGAAGTGGGCCGCAGAACCTTTCACCTTGATCGCCTGATCCGCAACTACCGCGCCTTCTTGCTGCAGCAGCAGGAGCAGTGGTAGTCATATAGCAGCGCGATTAACCATGACGGTGGCTACTACTACTACTACTACTACTACTACTACTACTACTACCCTTACTACCCTTACTACACCTGAACATGTTATTCTGCATCCGATTAACTGACTGAAAGGAAGCCATGTGCAGACCGAGCATCTGATGCACCCGGAAGGCTCCGCAGTCAAGCACCGCTGCTGCAGCAGCGGCCGTAGGGGCCAGAAGGACACCAAGGAGCCGCAGCGACATGTTGAAGAGCTTGCTATGGATCAAGAGTATGCCTTTTCCTGCAGTAACTATGGGTGATATACTATATCATCTTCCTTATTACGCAGGACATGTGCTTGGTCCAGGGATTATGGAAAGTCCAAATCGGCACTCATGGCTAGGCGCTTCGAAGATCAGGCTTTGGCGCTGGAGGCTGTGAAATGTGGACGTTTGACAAGCTCGGGAACAAAAGGTCAGGCTTCGTAGTTCAAAGGTTTAGGGCTTGGGGATTGTGGGCTTGAGAATTCTAGGGAATAGGGTTTTTTTTTCCGACAATGCCTTCTATGCTTGGAGGGTGACATGCTTGTGGTGCTCAAGCAATTGGAAAGTTCTAGCTGCGGCGGGACAGGCCCGGAGAACCATATGAGCTATAGTTTAAACTCCTACAGTATCTGCCTTAGTAACCTCAAAAATAACGCCCCTATTTAAGGAGTTGAGACTGTAGCTCATTTAGCATGAAAGAATTGAAGGAGCACGCTCCAATTCGGTCAAGCTGGGGGATATGCATCCTCTATTTGAGCCATAGTCTAAACTCCTAGCATCCCCCCTAATGACGTTCATAATAGCCCCCTATAATGCCCCAAATAACCACCCTTTAAGGAGTTTAGACTATAGCTCATGTAGTTGCTTAGGTTCCTTGCCTGAAGAGATTTGGGTGTGAGGCCTTCAACCCTAAACCCAAAACCCTAAAACCCAAAACCGCAAAACCACAACGCGTGAAACCTAAACCTCTTTAGCCACTTTGGGATGAAGGCTGGCATTGCCCTTCTGAGGTCTCAGATTCTCGGACAGCTCCTATCAATCCCCAAAAGGACCTGATGGATATATTGCAGGCAGGAGATGTATCCATCAGAGGAATCTCCTGCTTGAAAAGTTAGGAAGACTCATGAAGACCCTTTTCGAAAGGATTGTGATTTTGTGCGGAATTGTAAGCCCTTACAGACCGGTCCTGGGCCATGGTTGATGTTTGCCCGCTGTAGGGGTCGACATTACGCCCAACATTATCTTGAGGTCTACTTGAAGTACCCTATACCAAGATTTTACAAGGAATTTAGGACCATGATATTGGCAGTTCCTGAGATGCATCAACTGGTCTCACAATAGAGTTAGGCCTGCTATGACAGTCTTCCGAAGCCTCTTCATAGTTGGATACCTCTGACAATGCCAAGCACATGATAAGCTCAGTGTAAACATAAAGACAGAACCTTCTGTGTCTAGGATCAGTTTTCACGGTTGTCACGGCAACATTTTCTCGAGCTAAGAACTTGGAATGCCATGACTGGCTGCACACATACATCGGCAAAAAGATAGGTTCGTGCCTGGTTGTTGGGCAGGTCGCATGCGAAGTCATTGCAGTGACCTTGCCAATTGATTTGAATTCAATGTGATCTTCTATAAAGGTTCACCTGCAACCCCACCATTATGCCCCAAATCCTGAATCCCAAGTGGGGAAGCTCAAAACGGGACTTTTGATCTTGTTCAGGCCTGTGCGCTGTCCAGAAGTCAGAGCTACAATGCCCATTGCAGCACACCATATGTCTATCCTCAATCCTAATCCCTAAAACCTTCATCCTCAACCCAGACCCTTAACCCTATAGTCCCCCTTAAGTAGACATAATATGGCTTTGGATATATTATAATAAGATCCCCATATACCCCATCTTCCATCTACTTAAGGGGGACCATATAGCCCGAAGCCAGTAATCCTGAAACCTCAGCCCTGAAAGCCCTAGGCCCTAGACCTTACTGCGCTACTCCGTCTGAGTGGATCCCTTGCCTTGTTGGGCTCCGTCTGGGGTGTAGAGAAATGGGGGTTCCAAAAGTAGGGGTACCATTTTGGGGGTCCCTATGCTAAGGACTATGGCAATGGTATTTGGGGCTTTATATTGGGGGCCCCCTATTTAGGGAAGCTACCAAATTTTTGGTGGGATTGCATGGGCATATAGACGTTATGTAGAGCAGCTGCACGCAATGCACAATTGTTTCTCAGAAATATAGAAGTTTTCTTGTTCCGACACTGAGGTCCCTTGCATTTTCAGGGCCAGGTTGGGGATGAGGATTTAGGGCGAAAGTGATGTTACGCTGCAAAGCTCTCCGGGAAGTGCCAGCTCTGCTATACTCGGATTATCTCTCTTATAATGCTCAACCATACATTTACCAAGTGAAAACTCCACAACATCCACTTCCTTGTAACCCATTTAACGGTAATTGTGCAAACAGCTGGGTTTATGGTTCAGGTTGTTTGGCTACTCAGGCTACCCTGGCGCGACGGCGGGAATCATAAACAAATCCTCGTTGCCACTACATTCTGGGTTCGTGGAACCTGGTAAGATCTCTTGTAGTTCCTGCTGGCATTTACTCCTCGGCCTCGTGAGCGTAGTAGGATCTTCTGGAGAAAAGACTGAAACCAACAGGATGAAGTATAATGGGGACGATCGTAACCCCTGTTGACAATGCTTTGCAATACTTTGCAACTGAAGGTAGTGGCCCCTGTGGCACAATTGTTGTTTGTTCCCATGTTCTTGTCCATGCCCTCTTTTTTCCTGAGAAGCAGCCAGTACTTCCGTGATCAGTGGTGACTGCATCGCAGCACAGCATCGGTTTCAACCCTGTGCTGGGTTTTGGACGCCGGAAAGGCCTCATGCCCAGTGCCCACCGCGACAGACTGGGCAGGTACACGTGCCCGCCTGAGAACTCAGCAGGCGGTTCAATCTTTTCTGTCAGTGCTTGCTGCTAGAGACTCCTGGATGTCCACGTCTTTCCTCGCACCAAGGCCAGACGTTGCCACCAGACACAAGCTGTTGGATGCTCTCAAGGGCACTGTAGAATCAAAAGCTCCAGCCTGCATGACACAACAGATGTAGTGACCACTTCCAGCCATATAGCTAAGGCACCTGATTCTCTCAATAGCGGGGCAAGGACAAGACCGCCTGCTCAGCTCATTGTTGGTCAGCAACCTCTGGGATCTCCACATCTGCCAATGCGCTGCAGCCGCGAAAAGCACCCAGCCCAAGTCTTGTAGCAGGGCTTGCAATCTTAATGCTTTGTAGGGAAGTGCAAAAGGCGAAGGCTTCCTCCCCAATACAGCTTACGAACTCGGGGATCTCGATGGTTGTCAAAGCTTTGCAACTATGAAAAGCACTCCGCCCAAGTACTGTAACTGAACGTGGAATCTTTATGCTTTCAAGGGCACTGCAAGATTTGAAGGCTGCCTCCCCGATGCTGGTCACTGACTCGGGAATCTCCACATGCACCAAAGCGCTACACCACTGAAAGGTGCCAGGCCCAATTTGGGCCACAAAGCCTGGAATCTGGATGCTCTCCAGGGCACTGCAGGAGTAGAAGGCTTCCTCCCCAATACTGATCACTGAGTTGGAGATCTCCACGTATGTCAGGGTGCGGCAACCATGAAAGGCGCTATGCCCAATTTTGGTCACAGAGCTTGGAATCCTGATGCTCTCAAGGCTGCAGCAGGAGCTGAAGGTTAGCTGCTCAATGCTGTGCATTGACTCGGGGATCTCCACATGTGTCAAGGCGCTACAGCCACGAAAGGCCCCGAGCCCAATTCGGGTCACAGAGCTTGGAATGCTGATGCTCTCAAGGGCACGGCAAAAAGCGAAGGCTTCCACGCCAATGCCAGTAACGGACTCAGAGATCTCCACTTCCCGCAACACGCGGCATCCCTCAAAGGCTCTTTC